AGAGTCGCTTCCCTTAAAAAGTAAGTCCCCCCCCCCTCTTAGGAGTAGGAATAGGCTAGGCTAGACTAGATGTGTCGCTAGTGAGAAAAAAAAAAAAGATCTTTCCCTTCAATGTGAGGGGAAAAAAATATTGACCTGTTTAAAGCCTATTGTAGGGATAGTTACTTTGTGGAATATTCCAAGTATTCCAAAAATGTTGTCGTGACGTAGTTAGACCACATATATTATACTCCAAAAATGCCCTTTTGAATTACCTAATTAGATGGTTAGACCATAATTAATTAGTACAAGATGTTACCCACCCTCCACAACTTGTTTGGCAATAAGGTTCGAACCAGGGACCTAAAGTTCCATCTTCAGTAACCTTAACCACCCCGGAGGGCGCTGATTAAGTATTATCATTTTTAGCCTCTTTTTAGCTTTGTCAACTAGATAATTAAAGGTAAAAACAATCCAGGAAAAAATAAGCACTAGATGCATGGCTGAAATCTAAAGTAAACAAGCTAGAGACCAAGAAAAAAAAAACAGTCAAGTGAAAAGAAGCCATGGCTGAAATCCAAAGGGTCTTTTTTATTCGTAACAATTTGCTAAACTTGGCTCTTCATGCGTGGTTGTGTACCAACATTAAGAATTCTTAGGAAATTTAAAAAAAAAAAAACTCTGTCTTTTCATTTTTTAAGAACTAATTTTTATTTTTATTTTTTATTTTTTGAAGGAAGAGCTAATTTTTTACTATAGAAGCAAACTTTATGATCTGACTTAGGAAAAATAATTAAAAAAATGATATTCATTTTTTTGGTAACTTTCGGGAGACACTTTTTAAGATAAAATTGAAGAAAGTATTAATTTGAGTAAACAAGCAAAGACAAAAAGGTTTTGGTTAGATTCTTCAATGAAATATATGATGTAATTTAACGGTCAAAAAAATTTTCCCTTCCGTTTTTTCTTCGCATCTCATATCCGGCAAGCTTAAAGTTAAAACCACCATGACTAGCTAGCAAAATGTAATTTTCATAACTATATGGACTAATTCCACTTTAGACCTTGAATTTATATATTAGTATTTTTATTTTGTACTCCAAAACTTTAAATATGAAAGGGTTCAACCTTTTTTCATTCCTCGTCTCACTAAAGTAGGATACGAAACCCTGAACCTTATTTCAAAAGTGCTTGAACCTTATTAATTTTCTATTATATATTAGTTTTTTGAAGTTGTTGTATTTATTTTTTACTCAATTAATAGTTATTGGATACTAAGGAAATAAAAAAGAATTAAAACATGATATTTGTGAAGGAGAGATAGCAATATAATAAAGAATGGGACAGAGAGTGGCACAGAGTGTGGGACAGAAGATCCGTTGCGAATCAAGCATTCAACAAAGAGGATCGGACCCCGAAGATTTTACTAACTATTGCATCAAATTAATTGAATAGCCTCATTAGTCATAAATTGTTGACTTTGGTGCAACAATTAACAATTTTTAGTGGACATTAAATATCAAAGCACTATGGATGACCGACCGATTTTATAATCCCTAATGCAAAAGGTTTAGGCCTCAAGAAAGTAAGTACTTGAGATGCATAGGATGCAACGTTAATGACATCTTTATTCTTAAGAATAGATTAATTAGATTGCTAAAACGATGCATTGTTCCATGGATAATGGCTCCTTATTGTAAGATGAAAGAGTCAATATGGAATCAATAAAAGGAAGATAAAGAATTTCTTTAATTTCTCTTTAAAGCTGTATTTGTATATGATTTATTCTTAAGCTGAGTAATTTACTATGTAGTCTTAAGCAACCTCAGCCCATCACTAAGTGAGTTGACTTAAGAGGAAAAGTATGTGAGTAATTTTTTGCATGGAAGTTGACAACCGGAACATACTCTCATATTCCTAAACATTTTCCAAGTTGTTTAATATCAAAGTTTACATTCTTTGGAACTCCTCCACCCCTTTTAAAGCTCAAGTTATAGAGTTATTTGACTTCCGCATACTAGGATTCTATCTTTGTCATTATCATAAGCTAATCCATTATTTGTGTTACTTAACGAATTAATGATGCCATGCTTTTGCCTTTTCCTCTTTAGTTATGTATGACATTGGTATATTGCTAGGGACATCTAGTAGAGACCAACATGTGTCATTGGACTCTATGATGCTTCTAATCAAGCTTAAAATTCTTCTTCCTCTATATCTTGGCAAGTGAAATATTTCTAATAAAAGAAACTTAGAATTCATCTTTTCAACTTCTCTAGACCACAATCAGTGCACTCTATTGAAACAAAGAGACAAAACAGCAGCATATGATATCATAGGATCGAGACTCCTATAATATAGCAAAAATGAATTAATGATGATTAGGTAGACTGTTGTCATTTAACCATTGGTGTTCACACAACGATCAGGGAGGGTTCTTAGAATTTTCTCCATTATCCGATTTAATATTCGAATTCTGGGTTTCATAGTTGGAGGTAAGAAGGGTGTGGGGAAGGAAAATTTGGTAGACTATTTTCATTGAAGCAATCATCTAATCCTTCTTAATTTACTGTCCTACCAAGAAAGATACAAGAGAGTTATCCAAACAATTGTATTCAACTTATTTAAGCATCCCTCTTCTATTAACAACACCAATTTGCTTAAAAAGAAAAAAGGAAAGGAAAAACTTGGATGTAGATAGGGTAATAGATAAGACTGGAGGGATTGGATGGCATTGCTTTGTAGGCAGACAGGTGTGAAGGGGCATCCTGCAGCTTTCTCTTGGCCTTCCTCATTTTGTAGCAAAGCAACCAAGTGGACTCTCCTTCGTCTTCTATACTAAATACATGCACACGTACATTCAACATTATTATTTCTATAAATAAATATACATTTTCATTGGATTGTATTTATCAACATCCCAACCTTTTTTAATTGGGAAGAATTAATTAAGCGTATGATCAGTCCCTTGTGGCTTCATTGTAACCCAAAAAACTGACTACGTATAAATCATCAGCAGTATTTGGCAGACAAAAATTTCAGGGAGAAGACGAGAGCCTGTGAAGGCCCCATAATAAGACGCGACTCCATCTCATGCTTCCACGTTAATTATTCCATATTGTATATGAAAAAAGTGTGTCTGTTTTTATTGTATTTTATTTTATTAATGTACAATACATTAATAAAATAAAATAGGTGATGATTCTGTCATGAAGTTGTGGATGATGGGTTTCTAGCCGCCCAATCATGGTGGCCTCTCAAAGTGATACCTTTGCTTCCCTCTTAAGCCATTTTCCACCAATCATCGTTCTTTCCCAGCTTTACCTAATTTTACATTTTCTAGAATGATGTGTTCTGCTCATAGCTGCCCCATATGGCCAGAAAATTTTCCAAGTCGCCCTATTCATGCATGGAAAATCTTTTTCTGCTATATGTAATAAAAAGTTTCATATGCATTCAGAATTTTGCTGATTTGTTCTTTTACACTAGGGATTTATTTTTGGTTTCCTAGCCACCCTGTAAAGTAAAATTTTCCATTATCTCGCACTCAAGAAGCCTAAATTCTCTTAACATGAACGTGGACTATAATTTTTTTCTTCCTAGATTTTTTATTTTTATGTCCATTTTGAGTTGAGAGACACTTTTCTTTTAAGGTTAGGTATAAATATCTAGAATTGAGCTGCTAAATGTTCAATTGTTTTGGCCCAAAGCTCTCATGTTGTATATGGCTGAGGTACTTCTGCCATCCACATCATAGAAACGTGTCAGAAGAATCCTATGGATTATGTTCCTCCACAAAAACAGGTTGTAATATCTTGTCCCTCCTGCTACTGCCACTTCTGTGAACCAGCTCCAGCAGCTCTGATAAAGTTTTTCAGTACTAGTTCTCTTCTGATAACAAACATTATCATTATTTTCACCTTTGACCCATGTGGTTATATTACTTTTTTACTGCTGCTACTACTTGAATGAGTTGTTAGCTGATTAATTTTATCCAGGCCCTTCATGAATCATATCACAGCAATTGCAAAATTAAAACCAATTAAGCATTATTAATTCGAAATGCTTGAACACCACGGATTTAAGTACTATCACACAGAAAAGGACCTTAATTTGCTATCTTGTAGAAAAAGGACAACATGTTACATACTTGTGGACTTCTTTCTTGCCTTGATCAAGTATATATTCATGTTATTCTAGGATATACTCCTTGATTTTTTTCTAGTCTCACTCCAAAACAAGCAGTTTCTCTCATCAACTTTATTTCTGATCATAAAGTTTTTAATTTCACTGAGAAATCTTGTCTTTATTAGTTCATATGGATATAGAACAAGTCATCATCTTTTGCAAACCATACTACGCTCTAAAAGAAGTAACTGTGCATTTTCTGCTAGGTAACGTGTCATGAAATCCCTAACTTTCCAATCATTTTCATATTCTCTGTAAACTTATTACCAAAAGAGTAGGGAGGGGGGGGGGGGAATTTTGGATGACATATCTGAGGGGAACAGTTTGAAAGAGAAGCTCTTACAATAGTGAAAACGAGCCTATTATTGCCTCTTGGCGTCCAAGATTTCTGGGGTTGATTGCATTTGGCCTAACCAAAAGTTTTGATAACGAAAACAACTTCCTTACCCCCCCCCCCCTCTCTGATTCTAAGTTTATATCTGGTCAGTTTCCTTCAAATTTCATGGCATGTTTCATGCATGCTCATGAGTACCCTTATTTTTGAAATTCTGCAATAGAAACTTTGACGATTGCCCCTGCTTTTCAAGAATTCATGTATTTCAAAGATTCAGGCTAAAATACGGTTTAAACTTTAAACTTGAAACAGAGGTCAGAATGGAAAGAGAACAGCTCTTAAGTTTGGTAGAGAATCACCATAATTACTGTTAACTTAAAGAGTAACAAGTGCTATATGCTTTCTTAACTTCTTTTTATTACCTCATCATTCATGATAAAAAAAAAAAAAAATTGGAAACAAGTGAAAGGCCTTTTCATGGTGTCATAGTGTAGGACCCATGACACGGTCCAAAAGGCATTTTCGGCTCCTACAAATAGCGACACTCCCCAGCCCTGTAATTGCCATCAGCCAAAGCCAATCCACAGCATCCTCAAACATCACCTTCATAATCCTTTTTACTCCTCCTTGGCTTGCAACTGGCAGCCCAGTGGTCTCTGCCTGTAGCAGACCTCTGTTGGATGCTGTTGTTTGCTTGAGAGGTAAATTTCGTATCGAATTTGTAGCTAATTTTATCCCATAAAACTCACGACACGCACAAATACACAGCTTAATTATAATCTCATTCAATAATTGCTATTGTTAGTTTGTTACTTTTGTTACTACATGCATGCATGTAACATAGAATTTTGGAAAGCTTTGCTTTGTAACTTGAGAATTTTTAGATAGTATTGATATTCTACTTGTGGCAGTGAACTGTCTTTTTCTTTTTTTCTGATGAAATTTCTTCGACTTTGTGCAGAGGGAAGAAATTGTTTTGATCTTCTCTAGTCTGTAGTGCATCATCAGACGGTGAAGATGTCCACTTGTGTAAGCAGCAAGAGCAGCTTCAACTACTATCTTCTATAAAAGTTGAAGAAGAGGCACCAAGAGTCACCATTGAGAAGCAAGGTATAGTGTCCATTCTTGGATCAGACTCTGAAACAACCAAAGCAGCAGCTTCTTTGAGAAGAACTCTTTCAGCTGATATGTCCTCAAAGAAATGGTTAGCTCAAAATGGCTTCACCAGCTCTAGCCCCATGAAGAAGATTGCATCATCTGAGAAACTAGCACTTTCAGCCGCTGATCATCATCATTCGTCATCATCTTCTTCTTCTTTTCAGAAGGAGAAGAGGAGTATTATAAAGGTAATAAAGAAAGGCCTGCACAAGATGACGTATGGATGTCAATTCAGTCACATAAAGAGAAAAAGCAGCAGCCAGATGTGTGGAGTTGGGGCTCAATTCTTTCCCAAAAGAATGAGGACTCATCCAAACTTCCACCCCCTTATGTTCATCCTTTAGTAAAAAGATCTGCTAGCTCTTTGAGTGAAAAAAGCCTCGAAATTTGCACAGAAAGTCTTGGCTCTGAGACTGGCTCTGATGGCTTTTCCTCGTACCCGCCTTCTGAAGTAGGCGATGTAGATGAGGAAAAAGATAACGACCAACACAACCACAACAACCACAACTACCGCAGTCCTACGAGGACATGCGAATTGCAAAGTATCATTACTCTATTTCCAGTAGGAAATCAGGGCCTCGGTCCTTCCCTCCTCCTCTTCCTTCATTGGCTCGCGAAGATAGAGCCTCAGTTCACATGCAGTCTCACAGAGAAAATGGTAGGTTAGTTCTTGAAGCTGTTTCTGTCCCTCCACAAAACTATTTCCAGGCTCAACGCGAAGATGGCCGCCTTCGCCTCACTTTCATCATACTCCTTCCTCACAAGAAGAAGAAATGGAGGATGATGTTCAAGAATTTCGAGCAAGTGTTTGACAATTTTGAAGAAATTGAAGAAAATGGGGGTCCAAATTTGATGATCCAAGTGATAAAGGCCATGAAGAAGATGAAGAAGAAGAGGAGGAAGTAGTAGTAGTAGTAGAAGAAGAAGATGATGATGATGATGAGAAAGTTTTTGAGAAAGAAAAAGGAAGAAGAGAAGTGGAGATTGTGATGGAGCAAAACTCAAGATTGCCAGGTGGATTGATGGATGTGCACAAACCAACATTGATGATGAAAAAGCTAATGGGACTAGACAAAAAGAATCTAGCATGGGCTCCAAGGTTCAACAAAGCTGTCAACTTGGGGGAGGTGGAGGTGGAGTTGGAGGACGCGTTTGCTACTCCACCACTTCCTCAGTCACTTCCAGTTCCACCACCACCGCGGGTGGCTCGACTGATCTCAGCCCCACCGGCAACCACAGCAGCTACATCTTTCAATGCTTATGAATACTTCTGGAAAGAGAAGCCCACAATGGCAAGCATCATCAAGCCAATGTCCACAGCTGAACAATGCCAGCCTCCCAAAAGCAACCAGAACAAGTCATTCTAGCCAGTCATGGCAGCTTGAAGGGATATGAGCAGCAAAATCTTGTGCTCATGAGAGGAAACAAGGCAGAATACTTGGTTCCTTTGTTCAGAGGATGCAAAGAATCAAGAGCAAGATCTCTATTACTTTGTGAGCCTAATTGCATTGCTACCTCCTCATGATCCACAACCACAATCGATACCACAGTGCTTCATCAACCACTTTTTTTTTAATTTTCTTATATAATTCCTCTACGTAAAATGTTATCTGCTACTTGTCCCTCTTTGTATTAGTAGTACTTTTTACTCTGAGAAAGAGTTATGTGTAGTAAAATAATATTGGAAAAAGGGGGAGAAATTACTTGTTTGGATTTAGAGGATTTATGGAAGAAAAATGTGAGAGTACTACATAAATTTTTATTACTCCGTACACTTTTTTAGTCGCAGTAGTACTACTACTCTGTTATCTAACAAAATCTTACCACTATCTTTGACTTGGTGGTGTGTCTTGTCTGTCTCTGCATCATAATGGAATAACCTTCTTTTACATCAGCTTTTGCAACTGTAGCCAATGGGATTGCAGCATGGGTCATATCCCGTCCTTTTGGAAGTTAATTTTGGCTACATCATGTTCACTTCTTGCTCTGTTGTGCTCCTGCAAGTTTTCTAGTCTAGATTTTCTGAATATAATCAACTTAAGGCTCGTCCAATGAGATTTTGGCTAGGAATTAGATTCATAAAGTCAATTGTATTCATGCAGTATAGTGTATATGTTCCTACGTTCGCCTCACTATTTTGTACAAGCGTTAGCTTCGATTAAGACTGGGGATTCTTATTCTTCCGGCAAATGGATTACAGCAGAAATCCGTACAGTTCATGCTGGCTTAATTATGTGTTTCACCAACAATAAGCAGTCTTTTCATGGGGAGATTACATTGACGATAAATATCTTTTCTTTCTTTTTTTTTTAAATCGAGCAGGGCTCAATATATGCCACACATGTTGTTTCACATAATTAGTAAAACAAAAAAGTCGACAAACTAGCACATAGATTTTTTTTCATGTAATAAAAAGTTTAAGATCACAACGAGTAGAACATGCCTCGGAACCATAGCCGAGATTCATTCGTATATATTGCCCATCAACACAATCATCGTATCAGCATAACATACAATCTTTTGTGAAAAATAATCCATTTTTACCAATTAAGTCAACTTATATTAGCGAAAGACACATAGATAGCTGGATTATATGGGTAGTGAATGGGTGAATTTTTCCCAAGTTCACGCATGTTACAAATATTTCTCTCAGTTTCTTGTGAAATTACGTTGGTGATTAATATGTATCAACTGAATATGTTTTTAATATCATAACTTCGTATGGGACACTCATATTTCGACGCGGTTTGTTTGGTTTGAAACTCGAGTCTTATAAATTTAACTCAAAGAAAATGATTTTATGGGTTCAATTCATACATCAAATGCAGAAAGTTCACAAAGGTGGCTGATCATCAACCGGATGCCTGTCTAGAAACAAATCTTTCAACTGATTTTTGACAACTTGTGGTCGGAATTTGGAAACAGACTTGATAAAAGACGAGCTATATAGTCTTAGACATGACTTAATTGACAAATGACCGGTGTTAGCTTTCCATTGAACTTTTTGTTGCGAGACTTTGATATTGATCTTACTGTTAGTTCAATATCCCTAGGAATGGCAATACGGCTAGGCCTGTCAATTGCCGTCTAGACCCAGAGCCGGACCGGATCCGTCAAATAATTCTGAATACGGGTAGGGATATAATTCCGTTACTTGGATCCGAATCCGATCCGTTTTGTCAAACAAAAATGAGTCGGATACGGAATATGGTATTCTGATCCGTATTTGACCCGAACTCGGATATAAATTGATTAATAATTTAAAATATATATATTTATTTATATAATACCCTAAATTTACTTCTCTGACTATTATCCAAATAGTCAAACACACCAAAAACAAGTGTTGTTGCAAAATAGATTTTTGATGGACCCTTTTTCGGATAGGCTCCACCCGTCGGTATTCGAGCAGAATCCGGAACTGTATAATATGCCAGGTCCGAATTTATTAGTTTCGGCCTGGATCCGATCAGTTGACAACCCTAAATACGGCGAGTGCTCGCACCACGAGCTTAGGAATGGGTGGGGATTGGGTGGCCTGGATCCGATCAGTTGACAACCCTAAATACGGCGAGTGCTCGCACCACGAGCTTAGGAATGGGTGGGGATTGGGGTGGGGGCGCGAGAGCACATGTCCATCCCATCTCCCACCTTTATTTTAAAATAGTATATATATGTACAATTTGGAATAAATGTTATGTTATTGTTGGTATATAAATATATTTTATGAAATAAGTAACATATTATGTTGTTGTAATAAAACGATGTAATTTTTTTACTAAAATTTTAAAAGAATAATTAATAAAAATATTATTAGATTTATATAAATTGAAAAGATTAAATCAAATAAAAATAAAAATAATAATAATGATAGTGGAGTAGGACGAGTGCACCCACAGAAATAATAGGGAGGGACGAGGGTTGGGAGTGGGAAACAGGGCAGGGATAAGGAGAACTTTGGTAGTTCAGGGTGAGGGTTGGGGGAAGCTTCTCCGGCTTCAAAACAGCCCGTTGCCATCTTCTAACTAGCCAGATTAAAACTTAAACCAAGAGTAGATGCAAAATAAAGTTCACAAGACAAATCAAACAAGAAATAACCAATTTATTTCACCTCATATAATTTTTGAAACTCTAATATAAAACTGATCATGTTCAATTCCGATTAAGTTACTTATAGCCATGTTTTTTTCTTTTCCTTTTTTAGTCTCCCTTTTAACTTTTAAGTCATTTTGAAGTTCTTTAAAAAAAAAAGAAAAAAAGAGCACAAGGTCCGAGTTCCAACATATACTTTGGCAAATGCTTTAGGGAATATGAGTAGGACGGCTATCCATTCCCAAAAATTCTAACAGCTTTTATGAAAAAGATGTCGGAGCATAAGAATATATAAGTAACTAGCGAAGACGCGGTTATGTGTGTGTGTGTATGTGTATATATATATATATTATATATATATATATATATATATATATATATATATAGCATTGAGATAGAGGCAAAAAGAAAAAATAATTAAAAAAGTTTAAACAATAAGCATATGCTTTAATTTTGATACTTTGTAGCAGAATAAGATGACTTAAGGTACAACAAAAAGTCTAGAAATTCTCTCTACTTAATTATTACTTATTATATGATGGATTGAAAATGCCAGTTTAAAGCTAGAATTGACACCAATCTTAATGAACTTTCACATCAATTAGGAAATTAATTATATAAATTTTCTTTTGGAATTATCAACTCATTTAGGACCAAGAATCAGATGCAGACATGTCTGCTTTTACTCTCTCCACATTTGTAAGGTCTACTGTCTCCAATCTCCACATTTGTTAAAGTATTTTGGGATCATTTTAGAAACCTCTCCTAAGGTTTTTGACAATTACATTAGCCTCTTTTGAAGTTTGTAAAATTATACAAACCTCTCTTGAGATTAAGGTTTTGATAACAAAATTACTCCAATTAGAAAAATTAACATTAGAAAAGTACTTTAAGAAGAGAGGTGAAACTTTTATCCCATAAATACTCTTTATGCATGCATATAAGTTGTATTGGTAAAAGAATGAAAATAATTAAAAGTTAGAAACAATTAATACACATATTTTACCACTCAAAAAGTCCACATTCAATAAATTAGACAACACAAATAAGCAACAAAACTACACTAATGATCATAAGATTCAACAACACAGACTAGTCATCTCTTTTGACATGATGTTTAGTATAATTCATTTGATTTTGAAAAGATAAATTTTCAAATTTTGCCTTTTTCCCTCCTTTCTCCTTTACTAATATCTAACGATTAAGTAATTCGAGCACTAATTAACGAAAATATTTGTTAAAAAATTCTTTGATGGATGAACGATGACTTGTAATTAAAAAAAATACATCAATTGATATATCTAATGGTACTATTTTGTGATTGATAAAATTTAACAATGACCAGAAATCAGTTGCACACAATGTGAGAAGAAGAGCTTTAGTAGAAGAAAAAATACAGTCCAAAAGAAGGTTGCTCATGAGAATATTTTCTTTAAAACTCTTAAAACTGTGACAATTGTAAAATAATTTCATGAAAATAAAGGAGAAATAAGGGGAAAAAAGTCAAAATTCAAAAATTTTTCTGATTAAAATCACAAGAATCATAGCAAATATCATGTTAAAAGAGATGACTACTCTGTTTTGCTTAGTTTTGTTGCTCATTTGTGTTGTCTAATTTATTAAATGCAAATTTTTTGAACGGTCAAATGTGTGTATTAATTATTTCTAACTTTTAGCTATTTTTATTCTTTTACTAATACAACATATATACACGCATAATGGATATTTAAGAAGTAAAAGTTTCATCTCTCTCCTTAAAATACTTTAAAAACTTTTCCAATCTTTTTTTTGAAATTCTTATAGCCTACATGAACTTTTAGTACTTTTGAAACTGAAATCCATTTGGCTCTTTTTTTTTTTTTTTTTTCAAATTGCTTCGTTTTGTTCTTTGGTAATATTTGCAGAGATACTAATCATTTGATTCTCTTCAAATAAAAAAGGATAGAAGAAAAGAAAATATAAACATTTGGAAATATTCTTTGTGCTTATGAGATTTAAATGAGTATCCTCTAATATGTGTCCTTTTTTTGTTATTTTTTTTCCTCAAAAGTGGTACACAGAAATGAAAGTGGGCGGTGAATATATACACTACAATATCTCCACTAATGGTCTAATTGCAATTTAATATATCGATTAATTTCTCCTACGCTGCATTAACAGAAGGATGCATTCAATCAAATTACGTACCTATTTTTGTCTTGCTTGTATCAAAGCAAATTGGGCTTTTTCCTCAAAAAAAAAAAAGCAAATTGGGCAATTGTTGGTAAAAGAAAATGATAATTTGAAGTATTTAAAAAAAAAGAGAGAAAACGTGTGATTTAAAAAGATGAGGTAGATCTGCGCACGAATTGGACAGGTCCGGAATCCCATAAAAGCAAAAATTATGATGGCCCAATAGCCAACATAAACAATCGGACACCATTAGCCCATTCACTCAAATACCATGGACTGATTGGATTCTGAGGCCCAACCTGATTGATGATCTTCTACTTTGGTTCAGATGGGCTGGAGCCCAAAAGTGGCCCGAACTAATTTCCATATTTGTAAAGGAAAGATTAGCAGCAAAGGCAAAGGAAACCTTTAAGATCGTGTTTGGTTGAGTAAGAAATTCATTCATCCGTGGGCTACTGGGATGGGAGACAACAGCGCCAATAACCTCGACGATTTGCTGCTGAAGCAATTCTTCGCAGAGGTTAGCGAGGTTGAGCGTGATAACGAAGTCAATAGGTTCATTTCTTTCTTTTTTCCGTTTTTATGTGTATTTGAGTGATTTTTTTCCAGTGCAAGTTTATTCTTCAATTT